TTTAAAACCGGTTACTGTCTTCTGATAGTTAGCGAAGCATTAAAAAATAATCTAAACTGATAAATAACAGATTGGAGATTAAAATAATAGCAGATTTGTCTCATTTTAAATGAGTAATAAAAACAGATAAATTCACTTAAGCCAGAAATATAATTTTACTATGGTAAAATAAATGTCCAGCGATATCTTCAAAAAACTTTTGAATTTCGGTGCACTTTTTTTCTCTATGTAATGTTGATATGGTAACTAGTAAATGCTGTAAATTTGGTTATGCTAGCATGTGTGGAAATATTTAAACCACGTCTGTTACAACTTACCCCGCGTTACTTTGTGCCCCGCGCTCCCCTACTTTAACCTGCAGTTAAAAATGCATAAATAATGTTTTGTTATTTTAAACACAAAACGTTGAAAACTGATGTTTGAAATAATTTTTTTTTTAAAAGAAAAGATACTTTAAATGTGAAATTAAAACCGCCAGTAGGTGGCATCAAGTCACTGTTAAGCGAGTCATTGCGTTTGAACCGAATCATTTAAATGGGGTGGCATCAAGTCACTGTTAAGCGAGTCATTGCGATTGAACCGAATCGTTTAAACGATTGATTCATTCAGGAACGAAACACCGTCGTGTTGCTCAGAGGCGCAAAACAGTGCTGTGGCTGTGTTTGGAATGATTTTTGTTGGCGAAATAGAGCAAAAACAGCCAATATGATGTCTAAAACGTAAGTCTCTTAATTAATTTATTGTTTACTGAACTGTTGTAAAACTTAATTATCACATTTGTAATCCTAATTACAATAAAATACTAATATACTGCGTAATGTGTAGCCTCCTGTGTATACTGTAGACTGCCTACTACAGTTTAAAATAGTATACAGTGGTAAACATTTGAAAGAGATTCAAATTATTTTGCATTTATGGTGCGCATTTCTGTGAAAATATTTACTTTTTTTGATGAACAAACATAAAAAAGTACTTATTGTCTTCATGTTGTATTGCAAAACACTTTTGCTGGTATTGAGGTGGGATGCAGGAAAGATTAGGGACAGAGTTTGTGAATTTATAGAAATTAATCAGGGATGACCGTTATGAATGGAACCCACCATTTAATCCGACTTTCTTTCTTTCTTTCTTTTTAGACTTATGACGATGTAAATGTCATAATTCTAATGAATTGTCATTTACTACCTACACAACCACCTGAAACATTATTACCCATATAGACAAAATATTTCATCCTTTAGCTTATATTCTGGTTTGTGATGTTCCTTTTCTTTTCTACCTCACTTTGCATAAACGTATCTGCTGAATAAATAAATGTAAAGAACAGCCTGTTATTTTGTGTGTGTGTGTGTGTGGTTTCAGTTGGTTCAAAATTGTATCATCAATTTAGAATACATTTGATGCATCATGATTTCTGCATGTTTGTACAGATTTTACACTCAAATCTGTATATGTCTGATTGGTGAATGAGACCCATGCAGTGACGTACATTATAAACTGGGAGTTGTGTGGTATCATGTTTTGTGTTTGATCTTGAGCTGTTGTCATCTGTGGATGTGGACTATAGCAGTGCTTCTCAACCTGGCAGCCGGTGCCTACACTCTAAAAAATGCTGGGTTAAATACAACCCAGTGCTGGGTAAAATAGGGACAAACCCAGCAATATGACTTCATAAACCTCCAGTGTCAGCAGGTCGTCCGAATTTCCCTGAACGCTGTGGACACGATCTCAGTCGGCGAGTTTGAGTTTCCCCCCAAATCCCTCAACAAGTAAGACACTTCATTCTCAACGTGACATTGTGATTATATGTCATTTTATGACAAATGTCTAAGTTTTCTCCACACTTGGTTAATTACCCAAAAATGTTAATTTGTACATTATATAGCAGACATTAAAAATCTAAATGAGGTTTAGGCAGTATTGTACTGTGTGTGTGAAGGAGAGAGGGAACCGGTATCCGTGTCCAGTGGGATAAGCGACCAAGACCTTCGTTCATAAACCGCTGGAACCCCTGGTCCACTGACGTACCCTACGCCACCTTCACCAAACACCCCATGGCACACGCCGATGAAAAGGTGGCCTCCCTCTGCCAGGTGAGTGTGCTTCCTACTAGTGCTTGATTCTTATAGATTTTTCTGTTTTCAATGCTCATCTTCTGCGGTATGGATACCAGCTGCATTCCCCCTTTCTCTTCTCTCTGACACGCATAGCAGTATAGTTTGTTGCACTATGTGTTTCAGAGTGCGTTTTCTGGAAATGTAAAAAAATGTGGTTGCTCTCAAATCAAAATTGGGAATATTTGTATAAATGTATTGTATTTGTCTATTGAAATCTTTTTACTTTTTACATCAACCAGGGACAACAGATGCAAATTTGCCATCTTGGCTAACATTTTATATTGAGTTTATGCATTATAGATGTGCAATTTCAATGATTAAATGAATAAATAAATAATAGGTGAATTAATGTGCACACAAGCAGTTCGTGATCTGGTGTTTGTTGCGTCTCAGATCGGCTTGGTTTACAGAAAGTGAAACAAACTGCATGTGCTGTGAGTTTAGGCTGCCACTTACACTTTTCCACATTCGCATAATTTCCAACATTTTTGTGGATTCGAAGCTTCTTTTCACAGGGTTTCTGCAGGATTTTTAAGCTCAAATTTAAGACCTTTTTAAGACCTGCACAAATAAAATTTAATACCATATGAGGCAATGTAGGGCAATGTCTATAGTACCATATTCAACTGTAAAAATGACTGTAAAAAGCACCATACCTGCAATTACAAATGCATAAATAATGTTTTGATATTTTAAACCTAAAACATTGAAAACTGATGTTTGAAATTATAAAAAAAAATGAAAAGGTACCTTAAATGTGAGATTAAAACCGCCAGTAGGTGGCAGCAAGTCACTGTTAAGTGAGTCATGTTGTGATGGTAACTATATGAAATGATACATTTTCTGTCCCATATCTTGAATTATGTGATAATTCTAAATGCATTTTAATAGACTGATTAATGCAGTGAAAGA